AGAAAAACAAAATTTTTTATAATGAGGTTTCCGTTTAACAAACAATAATAAGGAACTCTTACAGCAAATGGACAAATTCTTTTTAAATAGAACTACATTAATATTTTGTACTTATAATTATATCTCACATTTATCCAAAAATAACAACTTCTAATTATTTAAAATATATTTTTCAAAAATAGAAGTGTGTATTGTAAAAATATACTTCTTTTAGGCTTATATTTTTTTTAAATATATGTCAATCTGACTCATTGTAAAATGCATTGAAATGTAATATAAATATCACTTTCACTTTCCCATAGATCGGGTATAATAATTTATAATTCAAATTTATGTTTTTCTTAAACGTTTATGTGATACCTATCATCATATACAGCATGTTCCGCGATGAAACTGACAATCTTTCCAACATATTTAAAATGTAATTTTAAATACAAAATGTTATTTATACCATAGATCATACCACCTTTATTTTCGAGATAAGATCACAAGTAAATAGCTATTTAATTCTTAATCATTTACTAGGAGTTGTTTGAAATTTCATTTGAAGCTGATATATTGATGTTTATAACCATGTTTGTTCATCATTCAGCGATTATCGTTAAAAACAATTTCTAATCTGTCTAATACTTGATGTATCAATATTTTGAGAGTTGAATTAAACCGTTATTTATATAACATATTTTATTCATCTTTCAAATGTACTGAAAAAATTGATTTATTTTATCGCGGAATAGTTGTGGAATAAGTTTATAACGTACTTCACCTAATACACAGCATGTAAAAAATTATATGAAACAATCATGAAATACAATTATCTCGGAACATTTTTTCTGATTCCTTAAATTATTTTCTGGTAATACTGTTCGTTCCTTTTTTTTCTTCTTTTTGAAAACAATAATACCCTTACTTTTAAAGATACAATCTCTTTTCCTGGTTTTATACTGGCGTTGCAAAATTTACTTTGTGCTCAAGTAACATATTATTTTCAGGAGGTAATGCAAGACATGCTCTTAAGATATTTTCAATTGCAGCCCGTTGTCTAGATAATGCATTTATCACTGGGGTTCCTGGAGGAACTAATGGTGCTTTGCAAAGATACGATAATATAGAAAGCACGCTATGAAAACCAATAAATTCATCGTTCGAGTCTGCAACTTTGAAAGTAATCCGTGAGCAAATTTCTGCCAGAAGAACCAGATCTAAAATAATTGGACTAGCCAATAAAGAGTCTTCACACGTATTATGTACCACAATTGTATTGTGTCCTCCAAGTAGTATTTCAGATGTGTATTCATCCATTGCCCGTTTACTATCACCTAGAAGGAGATTTTATTGAGGCTTCAATTGACTAAAAATATTCTCAGAATAATAGATTTTGGCACATCTTACATATTTAACATATAGCACATCAAAAGTCGAATCAAAAAGTTAAATGAATCTATCTTGTAAGCAATTTATATATTAAGAAGTAAAACTTTAACTTTTTTATATACTTTATATACATACCAACATATGGAACATATTTTATAACAACACAATGATCTGGCTTCTCTCCAGGTTGATAAAGGATCTTATTTGATTGTACCATATCATCCACCACATTGCTCTTTGAAATCTAAATAAAATATTACATTATCATGTTAGCAATATAAGCATAAAAGTGATTTAAACAATAATTTTTATTTAAATTACCTCCTTTGATCTAAATTGTTGTGGTGCAGATAAATTATATCCATCATTATTTCCAAGATGATTATAGCTGACAATCGATACCGGCTTAATACCAGCTGAGACCAGAAAATCTACAAGTACAGACTTCAGTTTTGTTTGTCCGGACTTAAAATCATCACCACCGATAAATGTTCCATGTTGTTTTGCTAATTCCATTGCTCCAGGTACAAAAGTATTTTGAGGAGAACCATTTATGTATGTACACTAAAAAAATAAACAGTAATTAATAATTGATAATACCACAAAGATATAATATTAACTCTTTGTATAGAAAACTTTGTCCGAAACAAAGTAAATTTGATTTGACCAGTTCACATCTATAAACTTAAAAAGTGGCGCCCTCAAACAATATGTTAAGACTACATTACTTACACCTTCTAAAGCTGCTGCAACAGCGAATACTGTGCTTGGACTAACTTCTGAATGGTTATGGTTAATAGCTTCCAGTAAGTTTGAAGCTGTATCATTTACACCCGGTATTATTTCAGAAAATCTTTCAGTATTAGCAGTCCATAATATAATTACTTGATCAAGGTTCTTTGAATTTTTAAATTCTGCAATATCATTCCTGATCAACTCTAATTGTTCAAGTTTTGAACCAGGAATAACATTGTTTGCTCTTTTTTCCTGTAAAGATAAAAACAATGTGATAAATAAAAATGATGGAGACATAACAAGAAAAATAAAACAAAAGTAATGTTTACTTGATTAGCGGCAATGAAATCAGGATAGTATATACTTTTCCTTGGTTTCATAAATATCATGTGAGGTTCCAATTGTTTTTGCAAATTAATATCTATGACTTTTGCACGCTTCATAGCATCAGCTAAGTTCATATCAGAAATATCCCAGCCGTCGATTTCAATGTCATCTGGATTTACCATTGGAAGCATCCAAGACATTGGTACAAATACATCTTCCTTTATTCCTCTACCCAGCCTAACGGTAGATGCTTGAATCAAAGAACCATACCTAAAATTTAAAATAAGACTATGTACAATACTGCTAACTTGAAAATTAAATGTATAAACAGTTTATTTCAAATATTGTTAATACCAGTTTGCTTTCTGAACACCATTTTTTGTTTCCCATGAGAGTTTAAGTTTATTTGCTAGTAATGCAGCGGTAATAGTAGAACCATTATTTCCACCCCATCCTACTAACATTAATCCAAGCTTTGGAACTTTCAACTGTGTTCTAATCAATAATTTCGTTGATACTGGTTCCACCTATTAAATGTAAATTTACATTTATAGTCTGTAATGTATTTCCCTTAGACATTTAAAATAAATAATATTACACATAGTAATTGTTAATATTTGTATCCAAGGTTTTTTCTGCTAGTACACAGTGGTGTACAATACAGGAACCTTTTTTTTCAAAAATTGAAAATTTCATTTCCAAAATTAAAATCATAGCCTTTGATCAGCTGTTCATTTTTTATTTTATTTGTTCCTTTTCCCTAAAAAAGAATTTTCAAATACAAAACCTGTAAACTTAACATTCATACAATTTTTTGTTTCTAAAAATGACCTTCCAACCTTAAACGCATTGGTCAAATTAAATATCAGCATCTTTTCCTAATAAAAAAAATGTTATGTTAATAACTATCTTCTTCTATGGAATAATTTTAATAATTAATACTTTCTCGTATAGTGAACTTGTTAAAATACATACATGTACACTGTCAATCAAAGATACGGGACCAGGACTCAATGATTAATGAAAAGAGATATTATTTTGTAATAATATAATAAAACTAGTGAAATCAGTAACTGGAATATAAATGATTTGTGTTTCACTTTGATGTACGAGTTTTATTAAACTATCGCAAAATAGTATTTTCCTCCATCGTTCATTGAGATCTGGTTTCATACTTTGACCGGTAGTATATACATATGTAAGTCATGATTAAAATTAAATTTGTAAGTCTGAAAACATAGCTTCAAAAATTTAAAAGTACAGTTGAAAATAGCAATAATAAATTTATTTGTGAATAAAGTATTCGTTATTCTACTTCGGTAACCCAGTCGATTATTCAGATTCCATATTTGTGTACTACGCGAATCAATTGCAACAGTGTGAAATAATAGGTAAGTACACTTGTAAATTTCATTAAGAGCGCGCAGTTTTAAATTTCAGTTACCGCCTTTATCAATATTGGTTCGAATATGAAAATTATTCAATTTATCATTTCTATATTTTATTGTAATAGTAATATACATACATTAATAAATCGTATATAAGATTGTTAGAAAAACGGATTTTCGTAGTAACAAAAAATTGTCACCTGCAAAAACATGTATCTTTTAAATGAAAAGGGGAAACGATTTTACTTGTAATCATATTTTCAAGCACGCCTGATCAATTTTAAGGAAAAATATCCTGACTGTAATTTGTTTAACAAGCATGTGCAGAATATTCTCAATTTTCTTGTACATTTGTTTAATAAAAGATAAATTGGAAATTGAAAGAAACATAAAAGAAGAAACAACATTCTGGAACGCTTACCGTCAATTTTGAACCATTGTCTTCTATAACGTTCGTCGTTTGGTACTCGTATTGTGCTTCGATATATTCTTCTGTATATTTCACCTTCGGCGATTTAACGCGAATCTTTAAAGCCATTTCGCTTAATGTCAAAGTTTTCGCGCTAATTGCGATAGTGATAAAAGAAATTCGTAAAAAATTTATGTCACAAAAAAGAAAACAAAATATAGCCTTTCTAGGATGCCGGACTCAAGGATTATAGATTATCGGAACAGGAAACAGTGGTGGGATCGTACCTCAGGCTTAATTCTCGAGAGATTAACGGATGAATAATTCGTACGATAGATTGTTCTAAATAACCGTTTTAATCGGTTATACGTTTCTCTTTAATGCAATGAATAAAGAAGAGAAATGTGCAAGTAAAGCTAACGCAAATAACACTCGAGGTTAAATACTCAAAACGTCGTGTTCGTAGCTGAAACGTAAATGTCGTGAAGATGCTCAAGCATGCGCTTTAAAAGAAACGGCACGATAGCCCCCTTCCACCCCTACTTAGAACGTATATTCGGTTACTACTGTATTTTTATCAAACTATCTAGCATAAACTGAACATATGCTTCGTTAGCGACTTCTTATTCACTTCTTTCGGACGAATATGAATATATGCATGCTTCCTTCAACTTTTTACGTTTTCTTTTTTTCTTTTTTGTTTTGTGTAAACGTAGTCGTAACGTTCCTGCTAGTACAATATATGCAAAAACGTTGTTCCATTTGATATGAGGAATGTTTCAAAATATATGGCTAGTTAAATATTTTTTACAGATATTAAGTACGTCTTTTCAAAATTTACGTATAAAATTTATTATTTGTAAATTTAAAAAATTGTTTAATAAGTTTACAAAGCTATGAAAGTGTTGATTAATTTCCACGCTATGTTAGATTTTCTAATAGTTACCAATTGGACATTGAGAATTTTTATTTTATATATATATATATATAGTTCTATGCTTCATATTTGTTTATTTTAAATTATTTCGTTTAATACGATCATATATTTCGATATACTACACTTTTTTTGCTTTATTTCACATATTTACATATAAAAATATTTAGGTTTAATACTGTTTCTACCGACGGTGTCAAAAGACAGCTTTTGAAATTTTAACTTAAAATTATTTTCTAAGTTTAGTCGTATGTTCTGAATTGACTTTTCGACTTTTCAAATAACGATCATAGCGTTAATAACAATTTTCAAATAACGAAATAGCGTTAATAACAATTTTCAAATAACGAAATAGCGTTAATAACAATTTTCAAATAACGAAATAGCGTTAATAACAATTTTCTAGAAATAATTTGAAGGAAATTTTATTTTATTCCACGCACTGGCGGTTATTTCTATTTTTATTTTAATAATCTTATGCTTTTCATTACAAGTATATATAGTTAAATATTTAGATACCTATTATCAAGCAAATCATAATTTAGTCACTATTATATAAACATATTTTTACAAATATAAACCTATTTTATATATTTAATAATTACTCATATATTCCGAGAAAGGAATCATTGTTTATAATAACAAAATATATTTAGTAATTGCTTTACTAGTTTAACTATAAATATATTATTTAAATATAATCGTATCATTGACAATTGGGAATAGATGTTGTTAGAAGGCAACGTATAAATACGTTTTGAAGTTTGAATTATGATCGTCAGTTGGTCGACGAAATGTTCCATTACATCACGTGTTGCTGGAATGCATAGATTGTTTCAATCAATTGGCACTTGGCGACTCTGGAACTTTCGTAATGGGAGAATTATGTTGCCAGACCATTTGTAAGTCGACCCCCGACGAACGATTATGAACTATAATCTGTTTACAAAAGCTGATTTTATCCACCTCATCGTTATATACGAGCCGTTTCACTTTCATCCTGAGAAATAAGCATTATCACCAAGAGTATACATGCTAGAAAATTTCAACCATACCGAGGACTAATCTCATTTTGTATAGTTTCTTTTTGTTTGTTAATATGGTATGTCAAAGTAGTATTTGGGATCGATATTTGAAACATAATACCAATAGCAATTTATTGATATGAATACGTTCTTTAACGTGATAAAATTGAGCTTGTTGAACTGTGATAATAGAAAACTTAATCATTTAATATTACGTATACGATGCGTATTCTCAACGTAAGGCATACGTAAATAAATTCTGTATTAATCTCACAAACGTATGTGTCGATTAAATCGAAAAGGAATTCATAAAATAATTAAAAAATATGAAATAAAAAAGGTTTTGTTATAAAATTGTACAGTGCTGCTGTATTTCATTATATTTCAATTGTTTATAAAATTTATTACTAAATGAAATTTCAAGCAATATTAAAAGGAATTCGGTTGTCAATTTAGTCGATTATTTGTGAAGGGCAATAGTTGAACTTTGTCCAATACTTAAATTAAATTGGAGTGGAAGTGACCTGTATAAATGAATACCATCTATGTACCATCATTATTACTACTATCAAAAAACACTTTTTAAGTTTCTTGATTTCTTAATTTTTTAAATTTTATAAATGTTCAATAACATTTTCGAAAAAAATATTTCCAACATTCAAATGAATATTATAATATATTTTTTGACTAAAAACATTTAAAACAGAAATAAAAGTTTAATCGCAGGTTGAATTTCATTTAACATAGCTTTTCAATCTTCATGTACACTATGAAGTAGGTTTGCATAATATTAGTAAGGGAAATCACAGTCCATGTAGATTATGTAACGTCATTTGGAAGAAGTTTTAGGTTTGATTCACACTAGCGATCAGCGATCAACTGTATGAATAGATCACGATTAGTCGTAATCAAGGATTTCTTTACTTTGTACTCTGATTTAGTTCCAATTTTTATTGCTATATAAGTTTTCTACTAAAACCGCTCAATTTGCTGTTTTCTCAAATAAATTCTATTAATTGCTTGTCAACCGTGATTCTTTTTGACCGTCGACTGTTCAAAATTTTCAGTTAAATCAAATCCAGTGAAGTTTGCCGCGGTCTTCGATTGTCGGCATATCAGCTCGATGACCAATAAATTTTGATTTAACTTGATCGTACCGTTCACTATGAATGCTTCGTTGGATTACATATTATTTACATTGATAATAGTCATGATCGGCTATGATTTAACTTGATTTGACTGAACCATTGATCGCTAGTGCAGATCAGGTCTTATTCTTATTATTACGTATTTAGAGCTTATTTATATGCAATGGTGAGTTGGCGCCCATGAAGCGATGAACAGATCTCCTTGTCTAGTGTAAGAAAATTTTACAAACTTTTGTTAAGATATAAAACCGACATTTTAATATAAAATTATAAATTGTTTATAGATAATTCCTAGTCCCTAGATAATTTAATAGTTAGATCAGGTTTCGTCCCATCAATCGATATTTTTTCTCGGTTTCACTTCTGATCAGTATATTTTTTTCTTTATCCGATGGTCCATAGAAAGTAATGCAAATGCCACCTGTAAAGAAGCGGCAAAAGTTGTTTTAAGCGGTAAAGAGCAGTTGTACAAAGAGCAGTTTTAAGTTGTACTGTCACATAATTTGGTAATATAAATGTTAACAATTTTGACAAAAATTTCCTGTTTGTTGCGTTCTCTTTTTTTGGTAGTTTAAGAATTGATATTTTATTTAGATATTTATTTAAATAGATTATATATATCTACTATTTTATCATTAGTTCCTACTTTCATATAGATTGTTCATACCTATTATTTTTTCATTAGTATATATGTAATCCGTTATTAGTGAAAGAATTATTTAAAATTTTATAACTTGCTTAAATAAATTAGGTCTCATAAACTACAATACTGAGCCAGTACAGAAGAGGTGCATTTAAGAAGTGCTTTACCTCACAATAATATTATAGAGAGGCTTTTATAGGAATGTGTAATGCTTGATTATTATTTCTAGTGTTTTTATTAAAAAAAGTTTGTTCACATCATACAATTTGTGGGAATTATTAGCCTGATATGTCTATTCAAAGTTTAAAATAAAATGTCAAAATATTCGGAAAGGATACAGGAGATATTAAAGAATACAACTACTAAAAAAGTTACTGATAAAAGAGTATGTATGTTATTCCAATTAATTATTCAAAAATATATCATATATAATACAATACACATTATTCTTTAACATACTCATATTATTGAATTTGATGTTACAATATTTCATAATGAAGAAACTTAAGATATATTGTAATTCTTTATTTTAGAAATGTGTGAACGAATTGCTTGAGTTATATGAAAATAAAGAAGCTATAAATGAAATATGTAGAAATACAGAACAAGAAATACAAGGTGTCGTAAACTGGTCATATATAATACACGCAGTTCATAAAATTGTATTAACCGTAAGTGATTACATTTATTCGAGAAATCATTGAATTTAAATATATGAAATTTGTTTTCATATTATTTTTATTAAAGGAAACAGATAGACATGCTAGTAAGGATTCGCACAGCAAGGTAGTAGTTACAGATAGACAAAATACATGTACACTTGTGAGAAAAACAGTTCAATGTGCAAATTCTTATAAATTACCACTTTTGAAATGCACAGATGTAATACCATTAATTTTACAAATATTGGGAACAAATATATACGAATACTATCATGAAACTTATATGGGTATATTGGTGTCTTATATACTTCCATTTAGGACATATCAGGTGAAGATATTATTTGAACAATGGCAAGAGTTATTAAAGATATGTATTCCATTATATAAGAATGTATCTTCACTTATGAATAAACGTACTGCTTTAGAAGCATTACAAATGATCGCATATTATGGTTGTTTACACTCGGATCTTCTTCCAAACCTGAAGAAAATATTGCCATTTTTAGGTGTGGTAATATTTGAGAAAACATCAATTCTATAAATTTGTCTTACTTAATATTTTTCTTCTAATTAATTTATTATTTTATACTTTATTACAAATGAAATAATATTACATTTTACTTGGTTTTAGAAACTGTGTTTCTTGATGTGAAAACAGATCAAGAAATCCTAGCAGAATCTGCTTATAAACTTACAAATACAGTATGCCAACAAATCGCAATTGAATGTAGATATAGTCTTTGCCAATTTAGTGAAAGTATTTTACCAAATATAATTAGTTTAAAAAGTTCTGTGGAGAAGTATAAACTTTTATTACTTTTTATTAAAATCCACCACCCCAAAGGAACATGTAAAGTTGATGATGGTGCTTATGCTAATAATTGGGAAGAGTGGTATGCGATACTTAAAAGTATATACTTAATGATCATGAAGGATTTAAAACCAGATGTACTACCTAAAAGTTTTATTTGTCTTGCAAGTGAAGGTAATTTCCTATTTCTTTCCAAAATGATTATTTACACATTTTATTAACAATTAAATATCAAAATCTAAAATTATTTTAGTTTTTAAACAAATATTAGAAAATCCAGTCATTGTTGAAAGGAAATCTCTTGATGTATCTGACTGTGTACAAGCAGCAAAACGAAGAAGAATTTCAAATAAAATGGATGGATTAATTGATATTATTACTGATACTAACACTGAAGAAGCTTGGCCAATAATACAGATATTAGTAGTATTACTGAAACAATATCCTACATGTTTGAAATCACAAGATCTTGCAGAATTCTTAAAAATTTTAGTAGATCTCCTTACACAATCTTGCAAAGAAGAAATTATTATGGATAGTTTATATGAGTTATGTGTTACTTTATTAAAAAACGAAAATATATTTTCTATCACGGACATAGAAAACTCAAACATGTATTGGGATAAAATATGGGATATTTTATTAAGGTAAAATGTTTATAATTTATATTATTTAAAACTTGAAATTTAAGAAATTGTTTTTATTAAATTTATAATTTTAGGTCTTTGAACGTAAATCAGAATGAAATATCTACTCATAAACTTACCCAACTTTTTATATTAAATAATAAAATAACAAATCCAAATGCTCTCTTAAGACTTTATCTTACAAATGTTATCAAATGGTCACCTATGAGTCTTCGTACATTAATAATACTTTGTGAATATCTATCATTACCATCTGACATAACAATGTTTAATATAAATACATGCTCGCCAACAATGAATTCAGATTCTGTGAGATTATGCTTATTAAAATGGGCACTAAATATACCTTGGCATAAATTGGGCACACAAATAATGATTGATGAGTTATGTTTATTACTGATTAGTATTATATCAAAATCGAAGTATGAAAAGCAGATCCAATTTAAAGAACAAGATATTAACAATTCATGTAATTGTTCAAAAAGTGTGGAATGTTTGGAACCATCTTATGAGTACATGGAAAATTGTTACTTGCTATTGGCATATAAAACGAATTTGTTTGTTGAAAAAGAAAAACATGATATTCAGGAGGATATAAAATTAAATGAACGTATTTTATATATGCAAGATATTGTCACTTCTTTGGAAATTCAGTTGTGTGCTATCCTAGAGGAAAGTAGTGGTAATGATGATATACACATAAGAATAATGAAAATTGCTATTATAGCAAAAGTAATATCAATGATGAAACAATTCAATATAATAAATAATAATGAAACACCTCTTCAACATACAATGAAAACAAATTTAGATGTTATTTATACTTCATTGGCAAATATAGATCCATCGAGAAGTAAATATATCTATCTTTGTAATATAACAAAAGCACTTAATGTGTTGTATGGAACATCATATGATGCAGATGTATCAAGGATAATTATTTTATCTTCAACATTAGACATGTTAAAACGTATATTTAGTTTAATGAATATTGAAGATAATGAAATTATTGATTACGAGCCACCTAAGGATTATTATGAAGATTATAGTTCTTTTCAAAGCAGACGTAAAATTTTAGATAAAGAAATATTACACAAAAAACAGTGTAACTTTTGCAACAAAGGTACAATCAAAATACAAACATCAAAGGCTTTAGCATTATTTTGTTGCATTAACGTAGGAGAAGAAAAGTGTGACATTCAAATAAAACTCATGAACAATTTACTTGAAATAGATATGTACGATTTGTCTTGTACGGTGGATTTTAAAATGGCTGTTATAGTTTTAGAATCGCTATCAAAGTATGGCAGAAAAAATTTATTCAAAAATCACAAAGAGATACCATTAAAAGATATATTAACATTATATCAGAAATGTCGAAAAGATGAAACAGCAGTTCGACATATATTAAATATTTTACCGTATTTTCTTAAATATGCTGTAGATTATAATTTTAATTTAGATGGTGTAATGAATATTATTTTTGAACAGAATAATTGTCAAAAAATATATGGTTTTCGTGTCAATATAGAATTTACTAAATGTCTTTTAAAAATTATTCATATCAGTCCTGGTCTTTTTTATTATACAGTACCTGATATACCTGATCAGATAATGCCAATGATCGACAGCATTGTTTCATTGTTTACTAATTCTTTGTTTATTGTACAGTTTGAATTAATTAAATGCGTACAAGAAATATATCTTTCAAAATATATTGATTTTAAATGGAAGAAGTTATTATTTACAAAAATAGAAGAATCATTGAATAAATTAACTATCAATACAAATATTGATGAAAAGGAAACCAAAATAGCAAGTGCTTTACTAGTACTAGCAACGATAATAGTCTCCGATGGTACATTTCAGTGTCACGCTTTACAGACAATGGTACATTTTATTATAAACCAAAAACTAGAAATTCAAATAGTAGCAACAGCTTTAAATACTATAACGAACCAAATAAATTATTCCAGTTTAATGGAAGATAATTTAAGTTATCTAGTAACCTGTTGGTATAATTCAAAATATTCATCACAATCATTTCCTTGGAAATTAATACAATGTAATTCAGAACAACAATTTCATGAAATACATATTAATACACTTGCATTTATTAAATTTCAAAATTTTGAACTTTTAAGTGTTAAATCACTTTGCAATTATGTAAATTCATCATTTCAACAAATTATTGAAAACATTTTTCCACAAATATTATCATGGTTATTATATTGTATTAACGAACAAGATAACAGCACTAAACGAAAATTAGCAACTAAAATATTTCATAAGTTAATATCAAATCAAGATGAATTTGTTGAAGTTAAAAAATTCTCAAGTTTATTTAATGACAAATTTGAAGAAACGTTAATATATCTTATTGAAAGATTACATGACGAGACGTATCTTGAAAAAATGTTAGGTGTACAAATTTCATTTGCAATGTCGGATCTTCCACATTTTAAACATGAAACAGTTAATGCATGCTTAAAATATATGGAAGAAAACTTCTTTGCACAAGAAATGTCTATACAATATGTTTTAGCACATAATTGTCCAAATATATTACAGAAAATATTGTTACATTTAGTTAACAACATTTATAAAAAAAAATTTGTAGCGCATAAAGTAAAAGCCTTTCATCAGTACATGTTCTTTTGCATACTAATCGTTCAAGAATTGAAGCAAAAGTACTTTGATTCTCTTGCTATGTATGTAATAAAAGACATTGGTTACAGTTTGCTTTATATAATTAAAGCACACAATGATATTCTTCTTGAGATAGCAAGTAAATATTTCTATGAATTTGTGAAAAACATATTGCCTATAAGACCTGAAGAAATTAAAGAAATTTTAAGTTTTACTGTCACGACTCTGATTCCCGTTGTACAAACAAAAAAGGTACCAGTATCTTTGGAAATACTTAACTTTTTATTAATCGAACAAAAAGATATACCAAGTGATGCAATACAAAAGTTAAATTCGTTTCCAAATGTTCCTGTTTTTCAAGAAATTCGGAATACGCATAACGCATTGAAGTATAAAGCTGACAAAACATATAGTTTAGAGGAAGAAATACAACATTTCTTAAATTCTTTAACTGACAAAAACATAAATTACAGTGTAGAAGATGTTTTACATTTACGACAACAGTTATCAACTAGGAAAAAAGAACTCCAAGAATTGTACAATAAATTTGAAACTTTGCATGGGTTTGCTGAAGACTGTGCCTCAAGTATATTACATCAATTAGTGTATAAACTTATAAAATTAACAGCATCTTCGGATCTAAATGTTTCAATTGAAGCATCGAAATGTTTAGGTGAGATAGGTCCTAATGATTTAACATCAATGGTGCTGTATTTAGAAAAAAGTCACGTTAATGAAAGTTCTGACTTATTAGAGATACTAACGTATAAAATAATAATTAAAATGATAGAATTATTGTTTCAAAGCAACATAGAACTCCGATGTGTTAGCGCTGATGTACTTCATATCGTATTGTCATCTTCTTGGGGACAAAAATTGTTAAATACAAAATACATACAACATCTAAAAAGTGTTTTAGGTGAAACAGAGATACTATTACCTCGAAACTATATTCAACCATTTATAATTAATAAAAATTCGAGAACAAAAAAAGTTACTATAAATAATGTAAAAATGAATAATATTTTAAATCCTCAGAATAATATTTGGACACTTCAGACTAATGATTCATATACTAATTGGGTTACAGAAATAACTTGTAAAATAGTAGAGTGTTTTGCAGGATTCTATTTTGAAAATTTGCTTCCAATTTGTATGCTAAGTACTAATGTTTGTGAAATAATATTACCAAGAATTATTTTTCTTATAATTCGTATAGACAAAAAATTCACAGCTGCAGTATGTTCTTGCATAAATGAATTTTTTGACTATCATTTTAATAACACAACAACAAATGTAGTTTCTATTGGAATACATAAAACAACAAATTGTGACCATCAAATTGTTCATTGTATGTTAAATATTGTAAATTATATCAGAGTACAAATTGCCGATAATGCTTGTTTAAAGTTAAATTATATGTATATTGCAAAAGCGGCACAATATTGTGCAGCTTTCTTTACTGCGATACTGTATGCAGAAATGTCTTGTGAAAACATCTTAAATGATTATGATACTATTACTAACATTTCCAAAATTGATCGTGTCTATGAATTGGTACCTGAACAAGGAAAAATGATACAAAATATACTTAGAGACACTTATGCGAAAATAGGTGATTTTGATGCTATTCATGGTACTGGATCTTCACATTTACAAGAACATTCAACTCGTATACAACATTACGTTCATACTCATAAATGGGATAAAGTAATACTTGCTCAAGATGTTGAACTATCTTTTGGAAATATGACGGTAATCAAAGGTAAATGAACTGATCCATATTGGTAACATTATAATGATATGATTGAAAAATTTATAACATAGCATCATTCTTTGAAATAGTTAATTTTGAAAAATAATAAAAAATTAGAATTTAGTTAAACATATATTTAAAATTAAAAATGCAATACAAAGCTATCTTACATGTTTTATCAATTTAAAAAAAATTGTATATTTAAAATGATAGAAGACAAAACAAAATTACATGATTTCAAATAGTACATCACATAATAAATGTTTAAGTTACGTTCGTTTATCTTCTTTCTATACAAAGATATTAAAGAATTATGTTGAAAGGACTAGTTTAAAAGATATTTTAATTAGAACATTGGTTAAGTAGTTCTTCTGAACACAGTTTAGACATGCAGATCTAAATGTAATGTTAATGTTAAAATATTTTCAAATTAATAACTTTTCAATGCAAGTTCCTTGATATCTTTGTATAGAAGATGAACAAATGTAACGATCAGGACATAAAAAATATGCATTTCTGTTTAAAAAAATTTTTCTCTTCTATCTTTTTAAATTTAAAGTTATCATATGTACTATTCTGTATACTGAATTATGAATTACAGAAATGACTAATGGATTACATCAATCTGGTTTTCAATATTTACTTAGCAATTTAATTTGTACCATGTCTAAAAATAATGAAGAAATCGATGAAGATATTCAATACGAATGCTCTTGGCGGCTCAGTAATTGGAACTTTTCTGAAATAAATCAGTCTTTATACATGAAAAATGATTATAAATTAAAGTCACAAATAACTGAGTCTGATTATCATTTTTATCATTATCAAGCATTAAAATATTTTCATGAAGGTAATGAAATAGGTATACAAAATGCAATTGAAAATGCTCGCATAAGTATTATTAAAGCACTTAGAAATGTTAGCTTAGGTACGTTCAAATGAACTATTTAATACATAATACGTATATATATATATATATATATATATATATATATTTGTAATCTAACGCTATGTAATTTTCAGAAAGCAGTAAAACTATATATGAAAAGTTAATGCAGTTACAATTGATTCGTGAGATTGAAGAATTAAGTTTAGCAAAACCAGATGAGTATGAGAAACTATTAAAGAAGTGGAAACAGCAAGATATAACGAATTTCAATGAATTCCAATATATAGAGCCTGTATTAACTCAAAGAACTATTATGTATCAAATAAATGACACTTTAGCTCTAAACATGCAGTTAAAGGATGCGCTCTTCAATACATATTTAGATATATCGAAAATAGCAGCTGATAAGGAAAATTTGCATATTGCTACACGTTCTTTAGGTATGTAAGATACGAAAATACAATAGTATTTTTAAATATTTATCATAAGGTTTCAACAATATCCTATGTTATGTGAACATTGTTTTAAAATATTTTTTTTATACGAAGCTGTATTAGCAAAACAAACGGACTTACCTCAGAAAATTCAAGATCAATTACTTTATCAAGAATCTCTATTAACACGTCTTAGAAATGATTTAAAAATTGGACGATTTCTTTTACGTAACTTAATACATAAAAATACCTTAGATATAAATTTACGAGCTCAAGTGTTGAGAGTTTATGGAGACTGGATGGCTGAAACGAAATCTGAAAATCCTCAGGTATATGTCATGTACACATAAGTTCCTATTTACATTTCTAATGATAAATATATTTATTTATATTTTTCAGACTGTGATAAAAAATTATTATTTAAAGTCTATAGATATAAGCACCTCTATTGATGAACAGACTGTTGATAGTATTAAGAATTTACATAATACACAAGTAGCTTTAGCTCGATTCGCTGATGCTCAATTTGAGCAAATATGTACATATATGAAATCTACACAATTTGAAAGTTTGAAAGAATGCGTTACATACTCCACTGAAGGAGTTAACATGCATTCAATTAGTAAAGACAAAGATGTTAGAAGAGCATTAATTTTGAATCAGAAACAACATATAAATGATGTTGCAGAGCTAGAGCACATACAAAGAGAAAGAGATAATTATTTATCTTTAGCGCTGCAGTAAGTTTTTAAATATTAGTATAATTTCTTATGAAAATGAAATTTTACATAAATTTTACATGTTAATACATAATAACATAAGACTGTTTAATATGTAGAAAGATTAATTCTTTTATGTAGGGTTATTCGATATATTTTTTTTTGTTGGTAAATTTCTTAAATTTTATTTGTAATATATTTGTTTTTGCAGATACTATTTATTAGTGTTACAACAAAGTGAGGATTATAATTTATTAATATTTAGAGTAGTAGCTCTCTGGTTAGACAACATAAAACAGAAAGAAGTTAATGATCTGTTAAATGCGAATCTTAACAAAATATCGTCTTTTAAATTTATTCCACTTATTCCACAATTGGCGGCACATATAAACGATGTTTTTGATACCTTTTCTGAAAAGATATATACAATTATGAAACATTGTGCCCTAGAACATCCTCACCATACATTACCTGTATTATTAGCATTAAAAAATTTATATGGTGATTATGAATACAATACGACTCAGATGAATAAAACATTAGAACCAAGAGTACTTGGAGCCCGTAAATTATTACATGAATTAACTAAATCAAATATAAGCACAATTGTGCATGAAATGGATAAATTATCACACTCTTTAGTTATGTTGGCCAATCTTACAACTTCTTCAAGTAAACGTAAGACAATTCCTTTTACGTAACATAAATCTAACAATGTAATAGTACCTATAAAAATGCAGTAGTATACAATTTACTAATGTAGGTAAATTGTTATTTAATTACTTATTTCCAGCTGGTTCAATAATTAATATACCTAAAAATCAAGAAATTTTGAAAATTAAAAATTTCATTAACGTGCTTGTTCCAACGTTAACGATAAATGTAAAAGCATCTAGAAATTACAATAACGTAATTGGAATATCTAAATACGTGGAAACATACGAGACTGTTGGAGGTTTAAATACACCAAAAAAGATAATATGCATTGGTACTGATGGAATTTCAAGATATCAATTAGTAAAGGTAAATTACTTATTGTATACGTATACTGAATATTCTAATCGAGTTTAATTTTACATTATCTATATACTTTTTTTAGGGTAAAGATGACTTACGACAAGATGCTGTTATGCAACAAGTTTTTAATATAATGAATATACTACTGAAAGCTCATAAAGAAACTAAACGAAGGAAGTTAATGATTAGGACATATAAGGTACTTTAAATCTAAATATTAGAAAAATTTGATTAATAATTAATATTAAATAATATCAATATTAACTTATGTATTTTTCTGTATTTTTTGTATGAATTTTCAGGTTGTACCATTAACACAAAGATCAGGGATATTAGAATGGTGTAACAATACGATTCCTATTATAACTATATTAATAGGGTCAAATAATGATTCTGGTCTTCATAAAAAATACTATCCAAAGGATTATACAGCAAAACTGTGCAAGGAGAAATTAGCAGTAAGATTATTCTTAAATTATATTTATAATTAGACAAAATAATCTTTAATAATCACATTTATAAAAAAGTTTAATTAATACTTTTCCTGTTCACTACCGTTAATAATACAGGAATACATATAATATGAATTGTCTAAAATCTGCTCTATAAATAATAAAATGGTTTTAAACTAATTTGTATAGCTTGTAAAAGTAGACAAAAAATGTAAATTTGAAAGAAATTTATAACAAGCAAAATAATTAAGTAATTTAAATAATCAGAAATCATTTTATCATTCTGATGTATTTTTATTATTAGGGTGTGGAAAAGTCATCAACTGATGTAAAATTGAAGGTATTTATGGACTGCTGTGCAAATATGCATCCAGTGTTGCATCACTTCTTCACAGAAAAATATCCATCTCCGGAAACATGGTTCGAAAGAAGATTAGCATATACTCGCAGGTAAAAATAGAAAAACATGTTTAACATATCACATAATCTGTTAAGATTTTGTAAGATGCTGTACGTGTCATTTGATTTGGTTTATAGTGTAGCAACAACATCCATAGCAGGATACATTTTGGGTTTAGGAGATAGACATTTTAATAACATTTTACTTGATCAAGCAACTGCTGAAGTAATTCATATTGACTTTGGTAATAATAATTATTTTCAAATATAGATTAACATAAAAAATGCGAATATGATACAGATAATGTAATTATTATACTATTAAATGTTATCAGGTATAGCATTTGAACAAGGTAAGGTATTACCAATTCCTGAAACTATTCCATTTCGCCTCACACAAAATATTGAGGTCGCAATGGGTGTATCGGGAATAGAAGGTACAATGAGACAGTGCTGTGAAAAAACTTTAACTATATTACGTGATCAACGACAAATAATTATAACTTTACTTCAAGTATTATTGTATGATCCATTGTTTACTTGGACTATAACACCAGCTAAAGCACATAACATTCAAAGTGGTAATTCTTTGAAACAAGTTGAAATTAATCAAGGTAAATATTATGTTTCTATTTTCTTATCGTTTTTATGTATTTGCAATCACTGACATGAATTCACGTCTTTGCAAATGCATCTCTTTTCCGATTTACACGAGAGATTGGTTCCTTAAAATAGCCTATAAATCGAAATCATGGATTTTTATATGTAAAACCATGTAAATCGAAAACAAACCAAAATGTGTATGATTTAGTCGCCTAGATTTTTATTTAAATTCATTTACTTCAACGTAAAATAAAAGTAAAATACCATGAAAATGGTTTTATTCACGGAATATAATTTAGCAATCTCTATTATTCTTTCTTTATTACGAAGACAATATCAAATTTTAATTCTAATTTCTAAAAACATAACTTTTCTTTTCACTTGCTTTTTTTAAATTTCTTTTGGCACTGTAAAGCCTATGCAATTTTAAGTGCATTATAAAAATTTTATAGAAACTATAATTGTTTATCGTTAAATGTGACGTTTAAAGTAAATATGACGTTTTAAAAAATTCCATTCAGAAAAAGCACAACGATATACACTTTATGCTGCAAAAGATTTCCTGAACTTTACTGTATTGCTTCACACGAATGGTTTTTGTGTGTATACAAAAAGGGGAATTCCCTATTTTAGATTTAATGCCAGTATGATCAATCGAATAGAATAAAAAATTTGCTGTAGAAATATCGGTGCAGCAAAAATGTTTATTTTTAACATCTTAGTTTTTAATTCGTCATTTTGAAAACGTATAAAAGCGAAATCATGTAAATGAAGTATTGTGTAAATCGGGGGATAAATATATACTTTTCTTTAACAGAAAGTTTTTCATTTCAAACAACAGGTCGTTACAAGACTGATATTTCAAAACAAATTTTTTAATTTTTGTCTCTATTTTAACATTGGAAATTTACAACAATTAGCTTAAGATTTTCTTCATTTTCATCGACAATGAGTATTAGAAAAGCAAAAAATTTTCCGGCTACGAAGATGTTAATTTTCTATCATTTGTAATTA